CTGGAGGCGAATCTGAGGCAAATTGGCTGGCATGAGACGTGTATTTCACCCTTTCCGTTTCGAGGACAAAACATTCTCAGTTTACTTTTCCCAACATCACGTGAGTTGCTTCACACGTAGGCTTGCTTCGCAAAAGGTGTGCTCATCCACACCCCAAGCGGAACTTGAGCCGGGGTTGAGGTAGGGCAGCGTGCGGTGTGGGCACATTAACCAATACACCAGATTGCCACGACTGCCCCAGGGTCACAGGACAATTGTGAAGTATTGAGGGAATGCCAGGCCCTTGTCACATCGCTATTCTGTGTTGAAATTGTCGACGAACCAGACTTGTATTTGCTATAGCAATCGACTTGCTATTTATGTTTAGTTTACAAGTCGGTCTTCATGACTACCATGAGATCTTATAAGTAGGGCTTTATTTAAAAAAGAAAATAAGGCATATGATCGGTTGTAATAACACATACACCTTGACTTCATCTACAATCCCATCACTGAAAGTAGTATGGGAAAAGCGCGATCTGGGACCCAGGGGCAGTGATTGTCTCGAAATCCCATTCACAAACGTAAGATCGGCCACCTCACGGTGTACGGACGACTCGTGTTTCGTCGTACAAGCCTTTGTTTGGGTCGCTTGAAAGCCAGTCTTTTGGACACTGGGCCTTTTATGTGAGGACGTTTTGGCCTTGTTGGAATTTGTCCGTCATTGGCTCAAGCCACAGCAACTATGGCGTTGTAATTGTGAGGAAGAGGCATTCGAGGCGACAACAGCCTCTGTAGGGCTTGAGTCCCGCTTCAATCACTGACTCCTTGGTGGCTCGTAAACATTCAGACGTCTGTACTATACGCAACCTCGAGTCTATCATCCTGAGGAGGTTGATAATGATAATGATGATGGAAATAAGGAGGGGGAGAGTGATGATGATAGTGATGAGAAAGAGTAATCTTCTGATGATGATGATGGCAATGCGAATGATGATAAGGACAAGGAGGAAGAAGATTATGATGCTGATGATGATGAGAAGAAGGAATAGTATGATGTTGATAATGACGATGTGAATAATAATGAGGGCAAGGGATAGGGGGAAGAGTAGGATGATGATAATGATT